TTCAGAACAGGTTCGAACCTCAAATAAATTCCCACGCACCAGAGCTTGATTTCTGCGGCCAAAAATCATTCGGATATGACACAGGGTGATACTTTCTTATGTAGAGTTTGTCAGTTTGCAGTTCTGGCTGCTTTTAAGCCCTTCAACGCGAATGCTGCAATCTCGCAGCGATTTGATGGCCTAACTATCGAGTGTTGCCACGGAATATTTGAGTCAACCTCAAATCTCCACCACCCTAGCTATTTTTCCTGGATGAAATGGTTCATTATAGGTGTCAGAATGTCTTCAGTTTGCCCAGAATACTGATATTTTACACCGCTTTTGGCCATCGGTCCGGTCAGGTTCATTCAGGTTCGGCCAAATTCCAAAAAATCTGAACCCCGAACTGGACCCCGGGTTCGGTCCGGTCCATCCTTAAGCGGCGAACCTGAATTGAGGTTCGGTTCAGGTTCGGTTCAGGTTCAGAATCGGTTCTGAACCTGACACCGGCAACACTAGTCAGGTCACACGTCCCACAGTGTTATGTTGCGAAGAAAACGCGTTTGTTGACGCGACTTGGTGGTCGAGAGCAAAGGTGTGTTGATGTCCCAAAAAGGAAATCACTCCTTCACCTCTTCCACTTGGGTCTCCGCTTCGCTTTGGGCTTTGCAAGACTCCACTGGGCTTTCAAGACTTTGACTTTTCCCTGGAGAACCGACTTTGACTCTTCTAGGCAGCCTCAAGCAAAAGCTCAAGGGGCAAGAAAGAACAATTACAGATATACTCTTACGACTTTTGGCCAGCTTTAGGCTCGGAGAGCTCGTACACCCATTTCCCACACTATTATGAGCCCCATAGACACCAGTTCTGCCTTTGGTGTAGATAACGAGGACGTCCTGGGGGTCGATTACTTCAAAAACGCCAATTGGGCCATTTTGGGCGGAATCTGCCCCTCAAAACTCAGTGGGCAGGGGCTCCTGCACCTCATCGTGTCCATTACTAAGGTATTATCGATCTCGCATGTCCACCGCATCGATCTTGGGCCTGTACCGGGGTTGGGGTTTGACTTGGTGGAACATCAAAACTGCGAATTTTCATAGCTTTTATTCTAGCACTCCAGTAACCAATGCAAGTCCTGTCCGGTTATGCTCAACGTCTTGCATAGGACCCTAAAAGCGGCCACAGATACCCGCCGCATGTCTCCCCACTGCTAAACGGCGGCAGGGGGGCACCAACCTCAAACCATCAAAATGCGGATTTTTCTAACTTTTATTCTAGCACTCCAGTAACCCAGGCAAGTCCGATCCTCTCATGCTTAACGTGTCGTATAGGACCCTCAAAGAGACTACAGCTACCCGCTGCAGGCCTCCCCACTGCGAAACGTCGGCGGGGTGGCGCCGACCTCAAACCATCAAAATGCGGATTTTTCTAACTTTTATTCTAGCACTCCAGTAACCCAGGCAAGTCCGATCCTCTCATGCTTAACGTGTTGTATAGGACCATAAAAGAGACTACAGCCACCCGCTGCAGGCCTCCCCACTGCGAAACGTCGGCGGGGTGGCGCCGACCTCAAACCATCAAAATGCGGATTTTTCTAACTTTTATTCTAGCACTCCAGTAACCCAGGCAAGTCCGATCCTCTCATGCTTAACGTGTTGTATAGGACCCTAAAAGAGACTACAGCCACCCGCTGCAGGCCTCCCCACTGCGAAACGTCGGCGGGGGGGCGCCGACCTCAAACCATCCAAATGCGGATTTTTTTAACTTTTATTCTAGCGCTCCAGTAACCCAGGCAAGTCCGATCCTCTCATGCTTAACGTCTCGAATAGGACCCTGAGAGACACTACAGGCACCCGTCCCAGGCCTCCCCGCTGCGAAACGTCGGCGGAGGGGTGCCGACCTCAAACCATCCAAATGCGGATTTTTTTAACTTTTATTCTAGCACTCCAGTAACCCAGGCAAGTCCGATCCTTTTATGCTTAACCTGTTGTATAGGACCCTAAAAGAGACTATAGGCACCCGCTGCAGGTCTCCCCGCTGCGAAACGTCGGCGGGGCGGCGCCGACCTCAAACTATCAAATCTGGACTTTCCTCACTTTTGCGTACTTTTATTCTAGCACTCGGACAGGTCCTGTTATTCCACCCCCACCATCTCCTTTAACATCCTAACGTCCACTAGGGGTACGCACCATACGTCTCCCGCCCGCGAAACGGACGCTGGAGGCCGCCGACCTCAAAGCACCAAAATGCGAATTTTGCGGACTTTTATTCCAGCACTCGTATACTGTAGGCAAGTCCTACTATTGTATGCCCAATGTCTCGGCTAGGACCCTTAAACCTACCGTAGGTACACGCCGCAAGACGGACACTGGAGGCCGACCTCAAAGCACCAAAATGCGAATTTTGCGGACTTTTATTCTAGCATTCGGATACCCTACTACCGCCGACCCCAAACAATCGAAATGTGGTTCTCGCTGACTGTTATTTTAGCACCCCATTACCGTAGTAAGTATTCCTTAACGCTAAAGGATTCTCAACGACTCTGATAGGTCCCTCAATACTATACATTGATACTGGAGGTAGCATTTTACATCGATAGATACATTAATACATTTAGAAATAATGGGTCAGTCCGAATCGCTCGAATCCAAGTCAGACGGATGAGAGTCCTCCTCCCCGAGCTCCTCCAGAACTCTGCTCATCAGCTGCAGAGCTTGTGTCCATCGCACTGCCCTCGCATACCACTCCCCACGAGGGAGGATGACCCGCAATTCCTTTCCCCTCGTTCCCGGCCGAATGACCTCCACCTCCGGATAATCCTCATCTTCCCACTCGTCGTCAACAATGCTGTAGCCCTGCGGCAGGTCTTCAGGCCGGGATAATATGTCGTCCAAGAGGGTCAAGAAATGATCCTGGAGCTCCTCGTCCTGGAAAGGGCAGCGATGCTTTGCTACCTTCACCGGGGCGTGTCGGATGTTTCGGCTAAGATCGTCCTGTACTCTATTCTCAAGTTGCTCTTCGAGAGAGCGTTCGTCGTCATCGCTGTCGGTGACCTCGCCCTCGTCGTCAGAGGTAACACCAGCCCCTGTCTGATTTCGTCCACGTCGCAAACGCCGCCCTTCTACCCCATAGTATCGGTTAATGGCGTCGGGGTGTATTCCATCGAGGGGATCTTCACGATAGACTCCCTCGGTGGTCTGGCCCATGAAACGCATGTCCTGGGAGAAGTATAAGCAGGCTCGCACAACTGCCAATTGAATTACGCACTGCGGGACTCTGGTCATTCGTGGTACGTCCCTTTATAGGATGCAGATTCCATTCCTCTTGAAACTCAAGGCAATCGTCGTTAATGTCCGGAAGGAAGAGTGTATGGAGAAGCCATAGATGGGAGGAATTCTTGCGATCGAGGTGGTGCAGGCGGCCTAAGCGTGTGAAGAATGCCCGCCAACGCCTAGCGAACTGGGTACCGACTTCCACCCACAGGCGTTCAATGCGGGTGTTCCGGGTAGAACTAAAATAGTGAAATAGGAGACAATTGAAGTAGAAGAAGACTCACGAGCCCCACATGAAAGACGCACGCCCAGGGCCCCGCAGGCGTATGCGGGGTATTGAAGTATCACGGATGGATGGAATAGCGATATAACGTGATGTATCAGCAACGCTAATGAACGATCTGAAATGATACATCACCTTAGCTATACTACGCTCTGCGCGCTTTTTGGGGCGCCCCGCGCTTTGCGCACTGGGCGGCGTCGTTGATGCGTTCCGTGGCGGATTTTGACGGCGGGGGCGTAGGCCAAAATAGGTAGTGTTTACACATATTATGATCTCATCGCTTTGCCTCCTCCCCGCCATTTTCGTGTTGGCTCCTGCTCCCCCCTCCATTCCTCCTGCCACCTGTGCGCTCACCCAACCACTAAACAACATCGCCCGCATTCAATGCCGCCCTCCTCGTGTCTCAATTCGGCTTCAAACGGGCTCCCCACCGCCAATAAATTCCGCCCTCCGCCCTCCCGCCCTCGTCCTCCTGGGCCCTCTAGCCCCTCTGGCGACCGATATCTACCTTGTACCACGTAAGTATATCTCACCTAGCCCTCAACCGGCCTCCCCTGCAGCCTACTCGTTCCTCTGGGCTAGGAATTCCTCCGGTACGGCTACCCGGCTCCCGCTGCTGCTGGCGGCTCCCTGGCGGCTGTATTTCTCTGGCACTGGTGCTGACAGTTGGGGATGGTGTTGGTATGTCCCTCCCCTCCCTCCTGCTTGCTAACTGCGCCCTCTAGTACAGTTTTCCGCCCCTGCCGCCACCCGCTGGCCGCACCGCTTCCGCAGCGCCTCACCGCCTGGGCTGTGGCCCCATTACGACCACACGTGGTTAGCCCACGACCTCCGCCCTCCGCCTACCGCCTACCGCCTGTCGCCTTTGGCGGCACCGCCGCACCCGCCGCCCGCACCGCCACACCCGCCCGCTGCACCCACCGCGCGGCCCACACCGCTTCCGCAGCGCCCCACCGCCTGGGCTGTGGCCCCATTACGACCACATGCGGTTAGCCCACGACCTCCGCCCTCCGCCTACCACCTGCTCCCCCTCGTGGCGCCGCCGCACCCGCCGTCCGGACCCCCTGCACCCGCCCGCTGCACCCACCGCGCGACCATCGCACGTTGCTTGCTGCTCTGCTACCGGCCAGCCGCACGTCGTGCCACTGCGTTTGTGCTGGCGCCGCCCGCCCTCGGTTCCCTTACCTAACCCGGCCTTGCGCGCCCGTCCCATCCACCACGCCATATCCCATACCTACCTACCCCTTGCCTCACCTACCTTTGCAACATCGTCCACGTCGCCAAATCGTAGCCTTCCGTTCCCTTTTTCCATAATTTCACCGCCTCTCCCTTCCTTTACGCTTTCCCCCAGCGTTTCCCCCGCCCTACCTCCTCCTCCGCGTCCATACGTGATACTTTCTCTCAAAAAAAACACACATTGAGTTTAAAACGTCCTACCTAGCACCTGCGCAATAGCACTCTGTATCAGTCCGATGGTGTAGTGGTAACATCTCCTGTTTATCTGCGTCTTCAACCTTGGGTCGCGGGAGGTCGCTCGTTCAATTCGGGCTCAGACCATTTTTTTCTTTTTCGTCAGACTTCACTTCACGAAGTCTCAAGTCCCAATTCGTCTAAGTCGTTCCGCTTCAAGTCACTTCACTTCAATCGCTCAAAACGATGGAATTATTCATTCATTTTTTGGTGTAGCATGAGGTAAAGTAGAAATAGACTGCATAGTGGGAGGGGAGGGAATAATTTTGGGCGACTACTTCAAAATAGGAGGTGCTGTTTGCGTGTACGTAGGTGGTTCAGGATGATCTAGTATTGCTAGTAAACGCAAAGTTAGCATTTTTTTTCTCGCAGTGAGCCACAACTTACGCTCGTTCTTTTGCAGCCGCGGCGCCCTTCTGCTTCGTCTTGGCAGCGGCTGCGGCAGCCTTGGCGACGGGCTTCTTGGTGGCAGTTGTCGCCGTGCTCCCCCTGCAAAGTAAGAAATCAGGCCGTCATCTTTTTTTCAAAAAGAAAAACGACTCACCTTCCACCGCGCTTGACAAGTTCGAGCCCCGGCGCTCCCTGTTTCCCGCGCAGTTCCCCGCGGGTACTCCTCACATACCCTTCGTCCGGACGAGGTGGTACTCTGGAGTCGCGACCGGAACGCCTCAGGGGCGCGACACAAACCAGATCGTGGTTGCCGTCGGGGTTGTGCATCCGGCTCGCCTGACGCCCCCGCTCGGCTTCCATGGCCTGGATCCGCTTCTCCGCCTCCCTCGCTCGCGCGCGCACCGCGGCGTTTCCACCAGGCCGCATGACACACAGCTGGACATTCTCCCCAACGGGAGTGGGCGCGGCGGCGGGGACGGCGGGGACGGCGGAGGGAGGTGTGCTATTGGTGATGTCGGTGAGCACGTCCTTCTTCTGCTTCTTGCTGTTTTTCTTCGCTGCCGCAGCGACCGCTGCTGCTGGGGAGTTTCCAGTGACTGCGGCCTTGACGGCTTTCGCAGCCCTCGCGGCCGCCCTCGTGGGATTCGCCATTGGGCGCGAGGAGTACACCACGGGCGTGGGCACCTGAGGTGCAGCAGGGGCAGGCGGGGTTGACAGCGTTGACGCCATTGGCGAAGGCACAGTGAAGGCGGGCGGCGAGCGCGCCGCTTCAGACGAGATAGGCCCTGGCGGTGCGGGGGGGCGCGGAGCCTGGGGCAATGCGAAGATGTCCGGCCTGGGACGAGCAGCGAGCTCCTGCCGGTACGCCTCCTGCTCGCGGTAAGCACGCATGGGGCTCGTGGCAACAAGCTCGCGATACACGTCGAACAGGCCTGGCAATGTCGATTTCGAGCCACTCGCCTGGTTCCCCGGACGCAGATGCGGTGCGGTCGGCCCTCCCCATCGGAAGGAACTCGGGCGGGGGGGCGTTGGGGAGTCGCCTACAGAACGATTTGGGGCGAATTGAGCCCCCGTGAAGCACGGCCGTGGACGCGGTGGGGGTGTTGCCTGCATTAGTGCGGGGTCGATCACAGATGCGACATATGTCGCCGTCGACTGCGTTCCCCCGCGCTCCATGGCCGCGACGCGCGCTGCCGCGGTGGGGCTGGTGGGCGCCGGCATCCCTTCTGGCCAGTGATTGAAGTGAGCCCAGGATGACGGATGACTCGGGCGTAAGGTCGAAGGGGAGCTCGAAGGAAGGGGTTCGGTCACCACCGGTGAGTTGAAGACGTCCTCCATGGGGCCCAGGTCTGCCTCGAGGTCGAGGTCAGTACCCGGCACGTCAAGCATATCACCGTTGTCGCCAAGTCCAAGCCGCACGGTGTCGCCAGAGTTACGAACAGGTGGCGTTGGGGTAGCAGCAGGAGTAGGGGTCACAGTCGGGGCAGCAGGCGCAGCAGACGGTGCGGCTTTCTTTGGTTTACGAATTCGTTTGGGTGGTGCCTTTCCTTTCGCTTTGTTTCCAGACTTCTTGGGAGGTTCCACGGGGGGCAAGGGCGTCTCTGAACCAGGGGGCATGGCGCTGAGGCCATCTGGGGTCTCGATATCCGCCGGTGGGGCGATGGGGGTACGAAGGACACCATTTGCTAGTTATTATTCAGCGATACACTGATTCAGATAGAAACAACGACGTACCAAAACAGCGGCGCAGAAATTCCTGGAAGGGCAGCGAAATGCCTTCGTCGTAGTTGGCGTGTTGAGCGATGAAGTCGTTTCCGGCTGGAGTATTCCCGTAGACCGCGCTGGTGAGGGGAGAGGGAAGGTAGGAATCAGTGAACACAGCCACGAGTTTCCTCTTTGAGACTTACCATTTCAAGCTCAACTCGCCGTCGTGTCGCGGATTTGGCCCTCCCCAGATGGCGAAGCTGAACCACCCTGATTTCTCTGCCAACGTCTTCAACACAGTCTCCATAACGTCGCCCGACTCGTCAATAGCACTGCAAACAAGAATTCAATATCTCAGAAACCCATGCGAGCGAGCCGACGCGAAAGTACATACATCTGACGCTGCTGGGACGAGAGACTCGGCGCCGACTGCTCTGCGCCCTGCTCCAAGCTCTCCTTCTCCGCCCTAATCGCCTCTGCAATCGCCTTGCGCTCTGACAGCGGCGCCTCCTCAAATAACTCCTTCACCACCTCGTTCCGCATCCGCATCCGCTCGCGCCGTGCTGCCTTGGTGCGCTCCTCCTGCGCCTCAAGGTCTTCGCCGTCTACTGCCATGTGCTCCTCATTGAGCTCGTCATGGCCGCGCTTCGCCAACTCCTCAACGACTAGGTCGCGATTGCGCTTCTGGAAAATCTCAGTGGCACGGTGAACGCGACGACGTGTCCCCTTCGCGTTGAAGAGCGCGTTCCCGAGGGAGGATTGCGTACTGTGAGAAGCAGACGCGCCGCGCGTCGCCCTTTTGTGCTGGTAACGAAACCAACTCTTGATTTGCTGCAACGTGACACAGTCAACAAACACGCTTGAATTCGTTTCCAAAAAGAAGACTGACTTGTTTCTTGGCCAGTATGGCCTTCTGGAGCGTCTGCCACTCCTCGGGGGTCGCGGTCGCCTTGTTGATACCCAGCATCCCGTCGACAGGGTGCTCACGAAAGAACGCCTCCCACACGATTGGCCAGAACTTGTTGACTTTCTTCTGTGCCTGGCGGACGATGTAGTCGGGCATGTGTGCCTGGAGAAGCTCGAACTGGGCAGTCGTAGTCCAAGTAGGGGCGGGCATAATGGGAGTAAGGTGCAGGTGCAGGCGGAAGTTTCAAATGCGCCCTAAAGAGTATTGATAATTTTATAGCCTGTCTTTTTGCTCTTTTCCTCACCGGATCTGGCAAATTTGCTCATCGATCATACTCTCTGGGACGTATCTTCACCTGTTTCATGCTGACGATCCCTCAGATATTATCCGTGCTCCCAATTTGGCCCAGCCCCGAGCGGAAACTTTGCCAATATCACAATATGATGCCAGTAGCGCTCCATCAGACGCACATGCGCACTTGTCACCTGCCTCACCTGGTCAGTACTTGATTCGCCTCGCCTTATCGCCAATCTCATTGCCTCTTTCCCTCCCCCCACCTTCACCAGTCTTACGCCATGACCGACACGTCTGCAACTGCAATTAACGCCCGCACACCCGAAGAGGAGTTGCAGGCGTTAGTTGCGCTACTTGCAGGCTTGTCGCAAATGTCGCTCGCCATGGCGAAACATTGCCTGGACCTCCAGAGTAAGTCTCACCTTTGCTTTTACACGTTCATCTCACTTATATCTCCTCCAGCCAGACTGCCCGGCGTCATCAACGCCGCCATCGCTGCGCAAGTTGCGCCCATCTGTAATGTTATTTTATTATCTCTCACGTCGCGCTCTCTCACCTTTGCCAGCCCCGATCCTCGCCTGGGTTCCTATGGTGCCTCGCACCCCGGATGAACTTGAGGCCGCTCATCCTTGTCCGCCTGAGGGCTCAATCGAACGGGCGTACCATGTCGTGACCACCGGACGCGAGCCCGGCTTGTACGATAACGTGTGGGTGGCCCGCCCTATCTTTTTATTCTCTATGCTAATCCCTTCCTCAGCGAGCAGTCGGACTACCAGGTCCTCGGGGTCCCCAACGGCAAGCGCCGAAAGGTCACCGGGCTCGCCGCCGCCCTCGCGTACTATCGCGCCAAGTATGCGGCGCAGGAAGTGGCCAAGTGGGGGCCGCAGCCCAGCGGCGACGCTGCCCCTCCTCCTCCCACCGCCGAGACTGCTCCTGCCGCCTCGACCTCTGCTGTCTAGTGGGTTCGTTCCTTATCCATTTTCTCTGGCTTTGCGTCTGACTCTCTTCTCACAGCTCACACTCTCAACAAGTCACTGTTTCCGTGAGGATTGGGTAGTGTTGTAGTTAGTCGGCAGGTTTTTTTCAATTCAATTATTTTCTTTGCCTTCTTCGTATGTGGCCTGAAAGTGAGACAAAAAAGAAGAAAACAAATAGAATATGAGTCCAGAAAAGGATTCTAAGTGGATAACGTCTCAATGTATTGCACAACAAATCACAAGCCTAAATTCACGGAAGATTCTCAACCGACGTGTCCATCCCACGCGCGACGTCGTCAAGCCCAGTCCACTGCCGAGCCCCGTTAGAACATAGTACAGGTATGATTTTCGGAGAAACAATCACCGGTTGCATGCTGTTGAAAACCTCGCCCGCCCGCCTCGCCTGCCTTTGTGCCTTCAAAATCCCTGTGCGCCACCGTATCATCTCAAAGCATCGGGTGTGGTCTAGAATACTCCAGTTCGCGGTACGCGCCTGGTACAACCAACCCGTCGCCTCCTCCGGCGTTGGCGGCGTGAGCTCGCCAACGTTAAGCGCGGCCACGCGCATCTGGGCCGATTGGACCGGGGTTAGTAGCCCGATTGTCCCAGTCATTCGAAGCGACTCCTTTTGGACTGCGGTAAGCGGAGCCACACCTGGTGGCAAATCGGATTCGGTGAACGCTGAGTCAATGAAGTCGTCTTGAAACGGGCTTTGAATTAGTTAGTGTTGAATTACCAGTGAATATAGCAGAGAATTGCAGACGACGTACCTGACCCAACTCTCGACCTTTCCCCACATTTCGGCTTCATTGATG